GTCCTCTAGGAAGCCTGGAGCATTTCTCCTGTTTGAGAACTTAATCGCCCCATTTCATCTATTGCTTCTGTTGAGATGTTCCTGGAGTCAAGGAAGTTATGTCACTCCCACCCCCACCACTGTTGCTGATTCAGCATCCTTTATCGTATAACTCAAACACAAGATGCTTCTGCACTACAAAAAAAATGAATACTAATTTTATATTCCAGCACATGATAAGAAAGAGAAATGAATTTTAAAATCTTGATTTTCCAGCTTTTAAAAATTATTTACCACCTTTTATTTACAAGAAACATGAATTACATAAAAAAATTACTTTTAAATCTAAGACTTCAGATTTTATTTACTTCTCCATTTTTACAGCAAAAAAAAGGGGGGGGTGTGTGGCGGAAGAATCATTCAGACATTAATTAGCTTTACAGGAAAAGTTCTGACATGAATTCTTCCAGGACCATCTCAGAAACACTGGGGAAACCAATATGCTTTGTCCCAGCACAATACTCATCTGCCCCCACTCACACTAATTTTTTAGCATCATGGATATATTTTGAAATTTTATTAGACTCTAGATTTTCTAAAGACCATATATTTGGATTACACATTGAGCAGTATTAAGTGTCAGGTCCATCAATGAATTGGCCAAAACTTCACCTATAAGAATTTTGATTGCAATTTTTGGTTTTGTTCCTTTAGAATATTTTTTCAAGGAAAACTGCCTAAATCTTGAATAAAACCTGGAGTCAAAAGCTATTGTAATCCTATTTTGATAGTACTTTTATAATGAATACCAACACTCTGCTAGAAAATCATGATTTTCCTTCCAACAGTATTGAATCACCATCTTTCATCCAGAAAGAAGAGGTTTTAAAATGTCCTCACACGTATGTCATGAAAGTGGACTGTTTCTACCTGTTCTTTGACCGAGGCGAGGATGGCGGAGGTGGTTTCCGTTTCCGAGCCGTCTCCATTGGAGGTGGGGAGGCCAGGGCTGACGGAGCTGGTCTTGTCGGAGGCTGACGAAGGCTGGTCTGGGACAGGCATAGCTCCTGCAAAGCGAGAGGACACACTCAATGCAGTTGGGTGTTGTCACCGAAAACACTCATAAGTACCAGGCAACTCTAAGCAAGACACTTCAGCAAAGGGATAAGTGTCACCTACAAAGAGAGGACATGACATCACTGAGGAAGGGGAAACAAGCAAATAGACGGTTTCTCCTCTATCCACCCCGACCAAGTGGAGGAAGAAACGATGAGATGGAAAAGGCCAGTTAGGCTATAAGAGCGTAAAAAGATAAAGACATATGGGTCTAAAAACAGGCCAGTCAAACGACACTCTGTATCTTTTAGATAAATGTATTACTTGTGCATTGATCCATTTTCACCTGAAACAAACAAACAAAAAACCTACTGACAACCCCCTTTATTTGGAAATCACACAAAGTAATTGATCAATAAATTACAAGTAATTTAGAAACCCCATAGTCGACCTAAGAAGCTCAGCTGGGATGTAAAATGTAGTAACTGGCGAGCCTACTGCGCAAATATTTGCCAGGTTCTTACTCTGTGACCAACAGCAGACAAAAGGTCCTTACAGCTGACAAGACTCACTTGTCACAGTTTATTCTGTCCGAGTTCATTTAGGAAAGAAAGGAGAAACTCAAATAACACCAGCCTCGTTCATCAATGGCCACACACACACGGGTTAAAAGCAGGGCTCTCGAATGTATCTTTGGCTCTATGTGCTTGTCTTTCTCACACAAATAAGGAAGGCTGGAGCCGTTGTTACATACATTACCCAGCAGTGGTCATCAGCAGAGGTAATGATTAACTGAGGGCAGTTTTTCCAAGGCACGAGAAAACCACTATTCAAATAAAAGGCTGGAAGTAAATAAAGGCTATTCTCTTGCCTTAAGCTATTATTGTACACATCCTTTCAGGAACCAGCGCTGTGTGAACGTTAAAAGGTATTTCCTATCATACTGGATCTGCGCATCCTGGGTTTCACCCAAAGCAACATAATTCTTTTAGCAGCCCTTTTATTATGTTATTAGCTACATTTAGTTAATCATTTAGGGATATGGAAACCCAAAGGTTTCTAGCACACAATTTCCCTTAAAATGTGTGACAAAAAGTGGCTATGGGAAATATACACAAAACGTTATGATAAATCACAGAGAAAAAAATGTGACAATGAGTGTGTATATGTCCATGAATGAGTGAAAAATTGTGCTGAACACTGGAATTTGACACAACACTGTAAAATGATTATGAATCAATAAAAAATGTAAAAACAAAACAAAACAAAAAAAAACAACAACAACAACCAACAAAAAAAGTGGCTATGGCTACCTAATGCTCTCATTGGACTTTACAACTGAGTTTTGATTTGTTTTTATTTTTTGAAGTAAGTTCCTCATAAGATGGGGATGAGAATATCATTGAAAAAAATAAATCTGTTACAAACAGAATATATCAGAGGGTTTGGCGGAATTACCTTAGCAAGCCGAATGTGGGCAAAGAATAAGGATCAAGTTGAATATAATTGGGCAAAATGCGACATGGCTAACAAGCTGAAAGTATATTTAGGTGATGGATACCAACAGGACCAAAGAAGGAGGTCTAGGTAATTATGGAGTTGGGGTTGGGAAGTTAAAAATAAACTGCATTTGTGTATTCGATGTACTTTCATATGTGGTTTTCTTATTTGATCAAAGCCTGTAATTACAAGGATGTAGGTCCACAGATCAACAAATGCTGTGCCAGGTAACTAGCCTGAAAGCCGCGTCTTTCTACTGAGAGGAGGTCTGGGAGATGGGAGAAGTGGATGGGGCAGAAAGAAAGAAGAAAGGAAAATGGCAGCTCTTGGGTGCAAGGTCATCTCTGGTCAGAGGGAGACCCCCTTGATCTTGCGTCCCCACCCGTCTCCACTGCAGTGGCTTCCAAAGGGAACGCTACATAAGAATAGCCTTAAGCTGAGAAAGGATGCTTACATCTCTCAAATTATTCTTTTCACTTCGTGTTTTCTAAATTTTATTGGGCCGACTAGAATTCAAGCTCTGGGTCCGTGTTATTATCAACATAATTTTTTGACAGAGAAATTGTGTAAGACCACAAAGGTATTAAGCACCAGAAATGAGCCTAGAACTCAAGCTTTCTTCCTTTTATTCCTATTTCAGTGTGCTTTGCTGTGTCAGCCTCTTTCCCGTAAGTATTGCCTTCTAAATGCTGTCCACACATCAATGTTTATCAAATGTAACTCTTAAAAAATATGACAGTAACCTGTCATAATAAAATATGGGATCGAATAGGCAATGAAACAAGATCTATCCTTAGGCACTTGACAACTTTGACCCACAAAGTATAAGGAATAATTCGGTCTGTTTACCCCCCTTTCTTCTTACAGCAATAATAAGAGAAGTGAAATCTTCAAGGCTCACCCCACCACACAGAGCAAGTGCCACCCACGGCAACCCCTCTGTTCTAGTGAAAATGATTTGGAATAATTTCCGTGGTTCATCATTTCTAACGTCCAGATTTAACTTCACCATTGGTCATCACCATGTATGGATGCTAAAGACTGTCAGCTTCCACTCCTAACCATCTTAGCTCAGAGCTTCCAGAGCAGAGGGAGAGCTGCGTAGACACTGCCAGAACCAAGCTCTGGGTTGCTGAACGGATGGATGGTATGCATAAAGGCATGCATACAAGGCCTTTGGCCTTCTGACTCTGCAGTCTGTGGTTAAGTACTTTAGTCTTAAATAGAGCTAATCCATTAAAAATCACTAGTTAATCTGTGCTAAATCCAGGAAATCTGGGAAATGGAGAGACTCAAAAAGAAAAAAAAGAAAAAAAAAAGGAAAAGCAATGTTAGAAATTCCACTCTCCCAGGTAAGTATATTAACTTTGGCACTTGGGGTTTCTGCTGCAATTTTTTTTCTCCTGATTTAACTCATTTTGCATGACGAATTTTGCATAATGGAGTATTAATGTCATGCTTTTGATTTAAAAAATTTTTTTGCTCAGAAACACACTGTGAACTATTTCTTAGGCAGCAAAAAGTGTTTCATGTTTTCAACAGTATTATGTTAAATAATAAAATTTTATTAAACATTATTATATCTATATTATTAAACATAATATAATATAACATATTAATATAATATTTTAAACATAGTATAAAGTTAGTATTCAATAATTGAAGGCATCAGAATTCACCTATCTTTTGTTTGTAATTTTACCCCATTTTTGACATTTTTAACAGATAAATTCATAGAAGTGTTATTTGATAGAATGAGAAACCAACCCATGTTTCTGACTGTTGAGAGCCAACGCCAAACTTGCTGCCAGGCTGGTCCAACCTATCTGCCCATTAGCAGTGTCACAGGAATGTCCCCTCCCACAAGGATAAGAATACTGGTCCTTCTTATCCTCTCCTGCTGTCACCAACTTGACGTAGAAAGCCTCATCTCTTTGACTTCGTTTTTATTTTACGACAAGTACCAGGGATATTTTGCCGTAGAAAATGTGTGTTCACCCTACGTACAGCACCTCTTCAGACCCTGCACACAATTACTGTGTAAGAAGTCTTTCCTTACATACTTAAATAAGCTACAAACACCCGAACAGCATGGTTCGCAGACGCAACTTCAACATGAGGAAAAGAGACAACACGAGGGAAGATTAGGGTCAAATTTTAGGTGGCTCATTCCTTAGCAGAACCGGCTACTAACGGGTTCTAGGTCCAGAAAACACAGAGCAACCCAGTCAGCCTTTCCTGGGCCCGTGTCACGCCGCCTACGCACTCACACCCAGGAGCAGAGAGATGGGGGACTGTACCCCGCTCCCTCACCGCACCCCAGCCCCCAAATCCACGGGCCCAAACTCCCAACGTGACTGCATTTGGAGATGGGGCCTTTGGGGAGGTAATTAATGTTACACGAGGTCACAGGAGTGGAGTCCCAATCCGGCAGGACTGGTGTCTTTCCAAGAAGAGGAAGACACACCAGAGCTTCTTCCCTCTACCCTGTGAGGACACAGAGAAAAGGCTGGCCACCAAGAAGAGGGTTCTCACCAAAAACCACTGCCAGCACCTTGACCGTGGACTTCTGGGCTCCAGAACTGTGAAGAAACAAATGTCCGTTGTTTAAGCCACCCAGTCTGTGATGTCTTGTCCTGGCAGCCCGAACAGACGGAGACAAACAAGCTCAGACTGCTCTCCCCCTCCTTTCCTTTAATCCCCACGGGGTGCACGGGAGGCTCGGGGACCGAACGCAGCGGGACAGTGCTGTTTAGTGGCGCTCTCGGCCAACGCGGTCATCGCAGATGGGCCACAGGTGTCAGGGCGAGGCACGTGCTGCTTCAAGTTGGCACACCTGGCTAAACCAGCGCCGACAGAGATGTGCCCCGCCGCTCAGAAATAAGCCCGGAGAACAAAGCACTAACTGAAGAGCATCCGCAGCAGCACGATTTTCACAGACAGTGTAATAAGGAACTCAGGAAAACCTGGCTCAGACGACACCCACACACAGAGACTCTTTTTCAACGTGAACTCTTCTATCCATAGGTAGTAAGATTTGATGAGGTCCCAATGAATATTCTAAACTTTTATTTCCCAAACGTGAGTCCCTATGATTCTATGGTATACTCGGTAACACGTGAAAATCAACTTGGCATTTAGGAAGGCTGAGTTCTCTTGCTCTCAATTCAAGGACCACATTCAACGTTCTATTTTATTCACCTCGGTCACGCAGAAGGAAAATAAATTCTTACTTTATTTTGTAATTTGAACGTGTTCCTTCCTTAACCACTTCTGCCCAGCAACTGATGACTCTGACATCAAAATAAGGCTATCTTCAAAAAATAACTGATGAGCTCCTGTGTGATACGATCATCCAGTTCGGTGA